TCGATGCATAGGGTTATATCTATGGTATTATATTAACTTACTTTTCAGGTGAGTGCAAATTTCTTTATAAATTGAAGCATAATAAATCATATTATTATTATTATAAATATATAAATATAAATATAATATCAGTCAGTGGGTATTGATACATTTGGAAAAATTCCAAGCGTAATTGCCTCCTCAGAATACACAGGACATTGCTTCCAAACCTGTGTCATTGCTAACAGATTCTGCAATTCATTTATAAAGAGGCAACTTCAAGAGAAAATAAGAAGAAATTTGCTTCAAATATTTTGAATAACAGTTCAAATTTTTCATATTAAGTAATTCCTTCTTCATCAATGTCAATTCATACTATAAAAAAATTTTAAGAGGGACTAACTACTCGACTACTTTTTACTTTTACAAAATATCGGACAAGCAACTGAATTTGTTATCGAGTTATCCTTAGAAAAGATTTATCATGGCGGGGATTAACCCACACTAATAAGTGTCAAAAAAATATAAAAATATAAAAGCAAAAATGGTAGACCTTTAATAAAATTTTTAATAAAATAAGTTTGTACGAAGTTACAAGGAAAATTGGTACAAGATTAATTAATTTTATGCAATAAATTCCTCTGTTCGATACGGTTCTTTAAATAGGAGCACAAAAAAGTCCAGAAGAATAAGATCACCAAATATTCTTTGTTTTTCGACTAATAATCCGGTTGTCAAAAAATTGGTTGGAGGTTATTTCAACAGAACTTTCCTCGCCTCTGAAGTGCGGCCAAATAAATCCCACTTCTCTGAAAAATTATCACTTTTTTGCCATTTTTGTTTTCTGATAACCTCTATTAAAGTAAAAACCAGTGGCGTAAATAACGTCAATCATTCTGTCGAGTTTTGAAGTTTAAATTTAATTTTTCAGTGTTTCAACTTTTCAATTCAATTTCTAGATTTTGCAATTTTTCGATTTGTGTTTCTCGAGCTTTCAATTTTTAATTTTTCCATTTGCAATTTTTCGTTTCAGTTTTTTATTTCCTTTATTTTTACAATTTTTCAATGTTCGGATTTTATAATTTTTTGTTTTTCAATTTCACTTTTTTTCAAGTTTTCGTTTGGTCAGTTTTTCAATTTGCAATTTTTGAATGTTTCGTTTTTTTTTTTAATTTTCGATATTTCACCGAGTTTTCATTTTTAAGTTTTCCAATTTTTCGATTTCCCGACTTTTGAACGTTTCAATTTTTAGATTTTTCAGTTTTTCAAGAAAAAGGAGAACCTACAAGATATTCTATGTGACTTACATAAGAGTACAGTCCAAAATTATTGAATAATAGATTGACTTTGTTTTTTATTATATCTCTTGTACTGTGCGGCAAAAATTTGTTGAAAGAAAACTATGTATGTAAAGAAAAACAAAACAATGATTAAGCCCCACCGACCCACCCCAATCTCAATTGTGATCAGACGAGGGGCGGAATTTAATAATTGTAACATATTATCTCTCTAGAAAATTCTACCCTTTTAAAAACATTTCATATGGTAATTTTTTGTAGAGACTAGAAAAATTGCAAATCAGAAGTTAAAGAAACGAAAAATTGAACAATCGAGAAACTGAAAAATCCAAAATTGAAAAATTTCACACTGAACAAAGGAAACATTATAAAATTGAAAAATCGAAAAATTGAAAAAATAAACAAAATAAAAGACCGAAACGAAAAATTGAAGAAATGAAAAATTGAAAAATCCAAAAATTGAGTAATTAAAAATTAAAAACTCGTGAAATTATAAATCGAAAAAACGAAGAAACAAAAAAAATGGAAAATCGAAGATGTGAAAAATTCAAGTCAAAAAAATCGCGAAAGTTTTATTTTCCGCCAGTGGTTTTAACTTTATAGAGGTTATCAGAAAACAAAAAATGCATTTTTTTTTAATTCTACAAAAAACCGGACATAAATACCACTCCCATTGCTTTTTCGAGCTGAGTTTATCAATTCTTCAATTATTCTTTTTTTTTTTGTTTCTACAGCTTTTCGATTTGCAATGTTTCGAGTTTTCAAGGTAAAATGTTTCAGTTTTTTAATTTTCCAACTTTTGAGTATTTAAATTTTTAGATTTTTGTAGTTTCACCAGTTTTCAATTATTATTTTTTCAATTTTTCGGTTTTTCAAATTTTAGATTTTTAAATTTTTCGTTTCCTCAATTTTGAATTTCAAATTTTTTTAGTTTTCGTTTTATATTTTTAGATTTTAGGATTTTTCCAATTTTCAATTATTAACTTTTTCATTTATTCGATTTTTAAATTTTTCGATCATTCAATGTTACAGTTTTTCGACTTTACAATTTTAACGATTCTACAAATTTTCGATTTTATCTCTTTTTTCAAATTTTTCGATTCACTTCGTTTTTTCTTCTTTCCAATTTTTCGATTCGATTCGATTTTTAAGTTTCTCTAATTTTAGTTTTTCAATGTTTCAATTTTTCGTTTCTTCAGTTCTTCGGTTTACCATTTTTCGATTCAGGTTTTTTTCTTCATTTTTTTTAAGTTTTAACTTTTTCAGATTTTCATTTCTTCAATTTTTCGATTTGCAAATTTTCGGCTTTTACTTTTTGAATTTTTCAATATTTAATTGTTAAATTTTTGAAACGGAAAATTCAAGAAATGAAAAATTGAAAAATCCAAAAATTGAGTAATTAAAAATTAAAAACTCGTGAAATTACAAATCGAAAAAATGAAGAAACAAAAAAAATGGAAAATCAAAGAATTGAAAAATTCAAGCCAAAAAAATCGCGGGAGTTTATTCTCCGCCAGTGGTTTTAACTTTATAGAGGTTATCAGAAAACAAAAAATGCATTTTTTTTTAATTCTACAAAAAACCGGACATAAATACCACTCCCATTGCTTTTTCGAGCTGAGTTTATCAATTCTTCAATTATTCTTTTTTTTTTGTTTCTACAGCTTTTCGATTTGCAATGTTTCGAGTTTTCAAGGTAAAATGTTTCAGTTTTTTAATTTTCCAACTTTTGAGTATTTCAGTTTTTAGATTTTTGTAGTTTCACTAGTTTTAAATTATTATTTTTTCAATTTTTCGGTTTTTCAAATTTTTGGTTTCCTCAATTTTGAATTTCAAATTTTTTTAGTTTTCGTTTTAAATTTTTAGATTTTAGGATTTTTCCATTTTTCAATTATTAAATTTTATAACTTTTTCACTTATTCGATTTTAACGATTCTATAATTTTTCGATTTTATTCTTTTTTTTCAAATTTTTCGATTCAATTCGTTTTTCTTCTTTCCAATTTTTCGATTCGATTCGATTTTTAAGTTTCTCTATGTTTAGTTTTTCAATGTTTCAATTGTTCGTTTCTTCAGTTCTTCGGTTTATCAATTTTTCGAATGTTATTTTTTCAATTTCTCAATATTTGATTGTTAAATATTTCAATTTTTCGATTTCTAAATTCTTCATTTCATAGACTTTTCAATTCGCAATTTTTTGTTTCGGTTTTTTTCTTTGTTTTTTTCAAATTTTAACTTTTTCAGTTTTTCATTTCTTCAGTGGGGATTTTGCAACTAAACTCCGCCCTTCATCTCACGATGAATAAAATATTCATCACAATTGGGAAGGGATGGGTGGGCGGGGCTTATATTTTGTCCATTTTTTCTTAATATACGAAGTCTTCTTTTCCCAACAAGAAACTGAAAACATGTTTAACTATCCTGTTACTGAAAGAAAATTCTATATATTAAGAAAAAAAAAAAAACAGAGTAAGCCCCACCCACCCGCCCCCATCTCAATCGTGATGAATTTTTCATTCGTTGTTACACCGAGGGGTGGAGCGTAATTGCAAAATACATATTTCTCTATTGATATGAACGAGTTTGTCTTCTCAAAACAGAGGACTAAAATTATTAATTTAACCTCAAATGAACAAAATGTTATTAACATTATAATTCTTATTTTATCATTATTACATAAAGACATGCGTTTTCTCACATTCTCGAGAAAATGGGGTAACTGACTCGTTTTTAATTTGACTAATAAAAAATGTGTGATGACGCCATCAACATGGGTAATACTAGTCACAGCTCAAAAGAAAAGTTGTCACAGCGCATTACCAGTGCAAGAAAAAAAAAAGTTAAAAATCACTTTACCTTAGTTTTTGCCTTTTTGTGTTAAACATATCATATCAAAGAAGACATACGGATTCGGTTCCAAGGATAACTCGCTTACAAATTATGTTACATTGTTGTCACATTAGCACAATATACCTGATAAAAAATTGACAAAATTTATTAAGGGGAATGACCTATTAAAAGTGATATTTTTTTAATTTGTAATTAAATCTTTAAATATGCCATTCTCATATTGACACAACGTTTTCAGTTCGTTTCGTACCAATATATTGTTTTTACACTAAAAACTAGAATCATATGACAGTTCACCTTGCACCTATATTTTTGTTTGTTATTAACATATTCCCTAATGATGGTATATGAGTAAAATAAATATCGAATAACAATGAATTTAAACTGATCCGATATATAAAATAATCACAAATACGTGGGTCACCAAAGCAAGAGAAATTTGAACGCATTTTAATAAGATTATCATTATCATTGTGATTTATGCATGAATAACAATGAATTATTAATTTCTGGACGTAGTTGAGGGTTTTAAAATCCAGTTTAATAACATATTGAAAAGTAATTTTTCATGTGTCACATTCACTTCTGTTCACACTTAAAAATGCATAAAAACTGTGGCAAGACAATCAATCAACAACAATGGCTAAAGAAACTATTTAAAAGAGATTTGAGAGTAATTAAAACGGAAATAAAAAACACAAATAATAAAAGAATATGAAATAAAAATAATAGGGAAAGTTCAAATGTATCGACAAGGAAAGAAAAAAGCAAAGAAAGTTTAAATAACCAAAAGTTCTTGTATTAATATAAAACAACTTTCTTTCTTTCTTTCTTTCTTTCTAAAAAAAGCAAAGATAAAGGTGTTCAAAATTACCATGCCCATTTCGATGTCTAGTTTCTCTGCGATCATCCATATCCCAAAATTCCATAATTCCAATCACTGATACATCACAAGAACTAAAGTAAAAACTAAACCAGAAAAATCCCTCAGCAAAAATCAAACCAAAACAATAAATTCCACCACTGTTCGTACATGATTTTCATCGGAATTTCACATCGGGAATCGTCACTTCATCACAAACATCGCTGGTCACAAAGATTCTCTTATTCGTGCAATTAAAGAAAAAACAACAACGCACCGCAAACAATCTGTTGCAACGCAAACTGAATTATTTAATAAAATATTTAAGGAGTTAAACGATATTTGGCCCCCACCTGTCCCCTCCGGTTACCAAGTTACCGATAATAAGAGAAGGGGGAGAGGAACAAAGATACAACAACTCTATTCAAGTAGAAAATTGTTGCAAATCTCACAAGCTTCGAACGATCAACCTCAATGTTGAAGTAATATTAGAAATTGTTAATCACTATTTATTTATTTACGCTAGTTTTGTTCTAACAACAATACCGGATTGTAATAGGCGATTGGGCGAAAACTTGTCCAATACCACAAGAGCTGAAAAATCGATCGCCTATGTCATTGGACGTTGGAAATGGGAGGGTTGTTCACGTGACGTTGCAAAAACATGGACGACCGTCTTTCACGAGAATGAGGCCAAAGCACCTCGAAATTTTGTCAGCAAAAATACCACAAGCTGCCTCGGTGATAAAAGTTTATTATTCAAAATCGGTACGAAAATATTTCATATTACAATAAATAAATAACGTTACAAGAAAATACGTTCTGTCATGGTCACTTCGTCACTGAAACATCATTTCAATTATTATTTTAATTTTCTTTCAAAATCGACATTTTACATATCCTCGTTGGCCAATAATGCCGAGATCGCGTGCTCTCGGGGAACAAATGCCCGTTGACAACTACGTTTGGTCGATACGGAAGCGAAGATCACCAAGAAAAAACTCGCCTCTTTCATTCACCCCCGGACGTCATTACAACAGAATTTAGATTTGATGATATATTTCCATTCGAAGTCTGGGTCATTTTTTATTCTTCGGGGTACCGATTTTAAATTCCTTCCGGTTTGATTTGACGGTGCGTATCCGTTTGTCGATGGGTTATTTTCTGGGGTGGTAATTTTAAATTTTTTCCGGTTTTTGTCATTTTGTCTATTCGTTAATGGAAAAGTGTTTTTTTAGGGAGTGTGGAGCTCACCTGCCAAGGGTGCGTATGATACCCTTTAATCGGCAATAAACGGACAAGCTGCGTTTCACGCATCACTGCTACGGGAAATTATATCGATACGTGGGTCATAAAAATACGTTAAAACGCACGAAGGACATTAATTTTCTAAACTGTTGAAAGCTACGGCACTTTGTGGAGGAAAACGTAGGCGAATGTAACTGACAGTGTACAATTTATTATTGATTTGCAGTTGTTTTAGGTAATTTTTACTTCCTGAAGCTACGGAAGTGTTGTAATCGAGTCGACTGGACGACTGCTACTTTTATACTTTCTCGACGTTTCATGACTTCTTTTAGGTCTTCCGTTTCCGTCTGTCTACCTGACTTTCTGTCTGTCTGTCTATCTGTATGTCCAGATTTTTATTACAGAGATAAACTTCAAAACTAAATACTTGGCCGATTATTGTCAAATTTTAGGCGTATTAGGAATATCGTATAGATAGGAAAACGCTAACCAAAATTTGTATAAACATCCCCACCAACAATAAGATGGCGTTCTTTTCAAAATTTACATTAGTTAATATTATTTCAATTTCATCAAATAATATGCTTCTGCATGTGTGATTTATGAATCCGTATCGAATTTCTACACTTGGTATCATGTTTTTACAATATTTTACAATTTAACTTTGAGGAAATTGTAAACACCAAATGCTGTGAAATGTTGCAAATATTTAATGAATCAGTCCTCTATTCCGCGTTGAGGAGACAAAATGAAATTTCATTTCCTTTTAACCGCTGATGCTTGTAATCAGGACGTGCAAATATTCGAATTTTCTCGAAATGGAAATAGTCGAAGTTAAGCATGTTCTGAGAAATTGAGAATATCTACATTTTTCCCGTTGTTTATCTGCTTTAAATATATTTCATATTGTCCACAATTGTGCGGACCGCGGGGTGTTAATTACTCCAATAGTTGTTACTTTATAGAGGTTATTACAAAACGAAAATCGCAAAATCAAATTTTATAATAAAGCAGGATTGGGGCTAGTACCTGCTAAGAACTGATTTTGGCAAATGAGATACCCTCTAAAAACAGAAAATGTGGGTGGGCGGGGCTAATACCTGCTAAAATAAGACCGATTTTGGGAAATGACATACCTTCCAAAAAAAGAGAGGGTGGGTGGGTGGACGGGGCTAGGGCTTGTTAAGATAAGACTGATTTTGGGACATGAGATACCTTCAAAGAAAAGAGAGGTAACTATCAAATTTTCCTATTTCCTTAATTTTTAATACTTCAATTTGACAGATTTTTATTTTATTTTCAGTTTTCATATGATACTTTTTAGTTTTTAATTTTGAATTTTTCAATTTTACAATTTCGTAATGTTTCCATTTAGTTTAATCGAAAGTACCAAGAATTTTCAAAATCGAAAAAAAAAATTAGTAAGTGTTTGTTTTTTACCCTACGGGCTTAAAAAGATTCTTGACACTACAATTTTTTCCCTAGTTAACAAAAACCAAATAAATACTAAATAACTAATTTTTCTTTCCTTTACCCCATCCCCCCTTGCCCCAGCCTTACTCTTGTCCTCTCCACTTCTTTCATCCATTCCACCCCTCTTCCGTCTTCATTCAATATCTCTGTCACACTCTCCTCTCTTTCTTTGCTCTCCTCACAGTCATGCAGCATGTGCTCTATCGTCTCTCGCCCTTCTCCACACATCCTACACATTCTCTCACCTTCGCTTACCCAAAACTTATTATTTCTTTCTTCATTTCCACACCTAAATCTGGCAATTATTTTTTTTTCTTTCGCGCTTTCTCTGTCTAGGTACTTTGGTATGGTTTCTGTTATTATCTTTCTATAGTCTGCATTGTACCTAGAATTACTTACACTCGCTCTTCTCTCTTGTTTATCTATGTCTCTGTCACGCATACACAACTCTTCTCGCATACTCACCCCCATTTCTCTCTTTCTCTCTATTTCCATCCATGCGTATCCCAGTCTTTCATAATATCCTTGTCTACCCTTGTGATGTTCTTTCCCTACTTCCTTTTTTTTTCCTTCCAGCATTCATACAATATCCTACATTCCTCTCTTTCTTTCAACCTTTCATCATACTTTACAGCTCTTTTCCCAGTGTATACTCTTAATTTCTCTCGTTTACATTCTTCTCTTACTATATAGCCTGGCGTCTCTTTCCGTAGCCCTAACATCCACCTCAAATATTTTTGTTGTACTGCTTCCACCTCTGCATATTCCTTCCATCCCCATATCTCCACTCCATACATTAATACACTCCTAACTAAACTATCAAACATTTTCATCCTTCTTCTTACGTCATGTCCAAATATTCTCTCACCTATACTCCACACCATTCCCATTATCGGCATCGCTTTGACCCTTCTTTCTCTTATGTGTGCTTTTACCGTGTTAGTTGTTGTAAACTTAAATCCTAAATATTTAAACTCCTTTACTGTGTCTATGATTCGATCTTCCCAACGCCACACTTTTTCCTCCCCTTTTCTCCCTTTTTTTCAAAACACCATCATTTTTGTTTTTTCTACATTTACCTCCAGTTTGTTTCTTTTAAAGTACCTATCTTTGCAGATTTTTTTTCATCTCATTCATTCCACATTCATCCTTCGCGAATATTACCAAATCATCTGCAAATGCCAAACACCATGCCTTTTCTCTCCCCACCACAATTCCTCCCGCTTGTACTCCTCTAAACATTTCCTCGATATCGCTTATGTAACAAGCAAACAGACTGGGACTTAATGGGCATCCCTGTCTCAATCCTTTCGTCGTCCAAAACATTTTGCTTTCTATTCCTCGCACTCTCACACTAGTCACTGTCTCTCTATAAATCTCTCTTGCTGCTACAATTAACTTTTCACTCAGTCCTCTTCTTTCTTCTTTCCTCTCAGTGCATATACCCGACCTCCTTCCTTTAGCAACTCTTTTTCTATTAGATGATGCAGGATATATACATTGTCCATAGCCCCTCTACCTCTTCTAAATCCCGCTTGACTTTCCGGTAATATACCCTTTTCGTTCATCTCTGTCACCAACCTTTCATTTAACACCATTGCGTACACTTTATATGCCGTATTTAGAAGAGTTATTCCCCGATAATTCTCTACTTTTTCTTTACTACCCTTTTTATGAATTGGGCCTATTTGTCCTACTCTCCATTCCCTGGGAAAACCTTTACCCGTCCACACATCATTCATTAACTCGCTCAATCTTTCAATCATCCCATCCGTCCCAAATATCCACACTTCGTTTACCAACCCATCCCTCCCCGGTGCTTTTCCCCTTTTCAGTCTTCCTACTTGTTTTCCTACTTCCTCTACTCGAATCTCCGCTTCCCTTTCTCTACCACCAATCCCGGTTTTACTATCTTGCACTACAATTCTCTCTTCCTTTCCATTCAACAGTTTCATAAAATGCTTCTTTCACTGTATTATAGGTATGTCTTCACTAATCGTGATTTTGTTCTTCCGTTCTTTATTTATATACTGCCATACCTCTTGCTCAGTTCTTATGGCTTTAATTTTTTCTTTTTCTTCTTGCTGTATCTCTTCTTTCTTTTCTTTGCATCGTTTTCTATAATTATTTTTTGCTTGCCAGTACTCTTCTTTTATACCTTTCCCCTTTTTCCACCTTCGTAAACATTTCCTTGCTTCTGTTTTTAAATCTCTGCATCTGCTATCCCACCATCTGTTTCTCTTTTCTGAATTTGTCGTTACAATTTCTTTTCTTATGGCTGCTTTTTCAATTTCTCTTTTTAATTCTTTCATTTTCTTTTCAGTTCCTTCTTCTTTAAATTCCACTTCCAACATTTTTTTTTATAATGCTCAATTCCTTTTTCATTCCATACCCATATCTTCTTCTCTTTTCCTACTTCATTCCTTCACTCCTTCACTCCCTCTACTTATGCCCCTTACTTTTACTTCTAGTGGCATGTGATCGGAGTCCACTCTTTCTCCTATCTTGAATGTTTCTACCTCTTCTTCTGCTAATCCGTTTACTATTAAGTAGTCTATTACCGATTCCCCTCTTTTACCTA